TATTAAAACAGATAATGCGCAGAATCAAATATTCCATTCGATTCCAGATTATTTATTGCAATACGGTTATATCTATTTCAGGGTCACTTCGTTTGGAGATTCCGTTCATTTGTGACTCCATTTGAAGATATACCTCCATTTGAGAGTACACCTTCATTTGAGGGTATACCTCCATTTGTGGGTTATTCCTTTTGAGAGTACCTTCATTTGGGGGTTACAATAATTTAAGAGTATCCTCATTTGGAGGTTCCTTTCGAGGTTAACCCTCATTTAGATGTTGACCGTCAATTGACGATCCGAATTTACGTCAAACGTTTTTGAAGGTATTTTTACACCCAAAATTTGAGTGTTTTTTTCGTAAGGACCAAAAGGATCGAGTGTCCGTTTTGTTATATTAACCTTGTGTCCACAATATTAGATTTCGGTCCAAGTCCTCAGTCCGAGAAATAGTGTAGCCAATTGTTATGTACGTTATATATAAATTTGTTACTGTTTACTGCGCAGGATACATGCGCGTGCGTATGCATGAAAAAGTAAGAGGAAGGAGTGTGTGTACGTGCTGTGTGTGTGCATTGTGCGTAATTGCTGTGTGCTACGCACTAAGCCGATATAATAAAAGGCATATATGAAGATACTGAATTTGCTGTGTTTGTGATCGGTACTCTTAATCCTCAAAGATCCTCTACATATACATATTATATAACACCAATCAACGTGTAAATTTATGGAAAAACGGCAATTGTATTAACTACACGGTTCTCTGACTGAGATATTGATCCAAGGTCTGTCACAAGGGTTATATTTATATTTTACAAAACATACGTACGTCACCAATCACGTACACTCACAATCAATCACACAGTCTTTTGCCGCACTAGTGACACTTTAGAAGATCTCACAATCGGTCCCTAATGCGACAAATGTATCAACTTGCAATCACGAGACACGTTATTAATCCGGCACTTGGGAGCGCCATGTGCAACAGAAATATGAAAAGGACGTTCCTCGACCACTTGTTTGGTTGATGACCACATTTCTTAAAGTTCATGCATCGTGAAAATCATGAAAAATTAGTCACGTTGGACTTTACATCGCGATATCTCTGCTCTTATTGTTAGAGCACATAGGCAAACAATAAAAACACTTTTATTATTCAAATCGTACCCAAGCTATCGATTGAGTGCACTTAGAAGTTCGTCGGATCTGCCGTTGTTGAGATCCGAAAATCTGTGGGTCTGTCAGTTCGCGTACTCGCGTAAACTACACAATTGGTCTCACGCGCCCGGTTCTAGCTAGCTTATACTTGGCGCGAGACACTACCGTGTCTCGTGATCGAAGAAATTAATATTTTTAAACTATCATGATTAGGTCGTATGCCGTTTCTAAATTGTAAAAATTTGGGTGATGACTTTATGGTATCAGTAAAGAATTACAGAAAATTCAAATATTTTATATTAATACCTTTTTTCAAAAAGAATATTTTGAAAATATTTTTTCTGTAAAAACCGTATATTTAGCAAAAAGTTCTGTTTTACAGTTTTTTAATAGATTTAATAGGTTTTTGTTTTATTGATAAAAAATTTAAGCCTTATCATTTAAATAATCCAAGCGGCAAGCAATAAAAGATTTGTGACAAGCTAAATATATTCACTCTTACAGTATTTTAAAAGGATATAGTACCTGTCAGTTAAAGGTGTGATAACAAGACGTGGACAATTGCCAATGTATTCATAACCATACTTTATCATTGAATAAATAATTCTAACATAAATATCATCTTCCCAGTAGTAACGGAGTTGTGCTAGCCATTCAAAATCCATTTCATTTGTGATACGTTTCTCGATAAGAGATTTTACAACATCCATGGAGTGTACATCAATAGTGATTAAGGCATTTAGTGTTGTTCGATTTTGCTTTGATAGTTGCCCTATAATTTAATCTTAATTAACGTGTTTAATGACATATAGAGATTATTATATTATTATAAAGTACATAATTACTAACCTCTTACTAATTCAACCAATTTCAAGATCTGAGACTTCAATTTTTCATAGAACAACTCTATTGCAAAAGGTAATCGACTAATCAGGCAATTTTGCACTTCAAGACTCCAATAGAGTTGTGAAACACAGAGAACAACCATGCCAGGCCACATAAGTACCCATGTCTCTTGTGCATTTGTTTCGTAGTCTAAATAACTTAAATAAATTTCTTCTCTTACTGAGCTAGCCATTTGTTCCTCAACCTAGCAAGCATCATATTTAAAACAACTTTCACAAAGGTAATAAAAGAATTGTTAAAATACTTTAATGTACTCATAATTTAATTTAAACGTCTCTATTATTACTACTCGTATACAGGGTGCTCCGCAACATATTGAAGACCGGTCATGGGAAGGTAGAGGGGACTAAGACAAACAGAAAAGTCCTGTACTATTTTGCGCTTGGACGAATAGTTATCGAGATACTGAATTTTAAAAATCGACGTATTAGCCCAACCTACTGG